AGAATTCAGCAGCGTCCCTGGACGCCGGAGTGAAGGGGGCTTTGTCAGCAATCACCTGCGTGTCTCAGCCCTGGCCGCAGGCAGCGCTGGGCTCAGAGGGACCCCTCCCCCAGGGGCTCTGTGCATGAGGCTTTCAGAGACAGGGATGGTGGACCAAGTAGTTGGAGTACAGATCTCCCCTCCGGGAGCCACAGATGCATCCTGCAAATTCCATGGAATCTTAAAGGAGAGCAAGTTGGTTAATGGAGTTCAAACTTGCCCCTGTTATCAAATGAAGGGTTCTTTTGTAGTGCAAATAGCGTCCCGGTCTGCGCGGCCACCCCGCCAGGCCTTCCTGGGGCGTCCACCCGAGGATGAGCTCCAGGCTCGTTTACAGGCCAGCCGGCACCCGCCCTGGCTTTGTGGCGGCTGTGGCTCCAGTGCTCTTTGTTCAGTACCAGGTCCTCGATCCGCCACTGGAGGGCCCTCCAGATAGAAGATGGCTGCGGAATCTCCAGGCTTCGGCTCCCACCCAGATTTTTTTGAGCATGCAGCATTTCCTGCAAATCGGATTTAACCAAAGAGACTAGCAGTAGCAGGGATGTTTCTTTTATTTAGGAATTTAAGCATAAAAGGAACCTCTGTTTAAAAGAGCAACTGTGGGATTATGGTCTTATTTGGCGCTGGAGAGGAGGCGCTGATCTTGTGTGTGGAGAGTGAGACCGCGGAACTCGGCGCCGCTTAGGAGAGCTGAGCTCCGAGCAAGGGTTGTTGCTCTGCGTGAGGAACAGTCGCAGCCAAGATGGATGGAATGGAGCAGGGCGGTGGGAATTGCTTTTATAATGAGGAAAAGGCTGGGTGAGGACTGGCAGAACGGTTTGGAGGGCTAGCGTCCCCCATCTAAGCAAGCACCCCTTTTTCCTCCCCTGTAGTGAGCTGGAGTGTATTTTCCGGGTTTCAAGGGTGCACCCTCAATTCCTGAGCTGAGTGAGGTCCATGGAGTTCGAGAACCTTCCTCCCCAATCCCCACGTACGCACACGCAGACCTTTGCAAAATCGGGGAGAGATGAGAAAATGTGTCCAGAATCCAGAAAAGAAGCAGGTCAGGTGTGTAAAACAAAGGTTCGTTAGAACTCTCCATCCAGCCCGCTAACACCAAGCGTGGCGTTCTAATCTTCCAAGGCCTGACACAAGAAACGAAGGTGAGTGACCGTGTGGCTGGGCACCGGTCCCCAGGGAGTGATCTGCTCACACCAGAGCCGAGGTCCTCCGGCAGCTTTGGGAGTCCATGTGGACCCCAACAACTACAGAACATGGAAACCTGGCCGTCAGAGGTAGAGCTAGCTAGCCATGAGGACTCCACCAGTCCAAGCTGTAACACGAGGCTTCAGGCTCCCATGAAGGACACCTCCCTCTATTCTTATCTTTCCTACCTGGGGGTGAACGGGAGGAAATAAATAGACAGCCTCCACTTCCCTTCAGAACTTAGAACTTTACAGGTAAGGAAGGGGAGGGTGGAGCAGAAGCTGGGGGGGGGGGTGGGCAGAGGTGCTTTGTGAGCTCAGGATTTTGCACCGGGCACACAGAATAGGCCTGAGAATGCAGTCTAGGCTCCATCTAGTGCTGAAGGCCTGGAGTCCCCGGGGGGTTGGCAACAGGTGACCACCGGGTGACAGAAACCAGTAGCTCCTGGCATTGACTGTCCACCTGATGACCAGGTGGGCACGAGGCTTCTCCAAGCTGCACCCCCAAAACACCTTAAGAAGGGTTCGGTCCGACCTGTGATTCTCTCCTCTGACTGACACCTGTCATGGTCTGTGACACACGTTTTTCTCGGACACATTTCATTGTTTTGGTGGCTGTCTGACCAGCAGCGATGCAGGGTGGGCAGCTGGCCCCGGGAAGGCCGGCAGGCGGGCAGGCAGAAGAGCGGGTGTCCTGCTGTCCGTGGAGGCCCAGCCCCAGGGCCAGCCTCTTGAGGATAGGTGAACTGTGGTTAAGGGCTGGTCCTGACTGACTGGAATAATCCGTGAATTCTGGAACATTCTCAGGCCTGCTGAGTTTAAAATCAAAAAAAGAAAAAAACCACCAGAGCAGGCGGGAGGGGGGCTGGCTAGGGAACTCACGATTTCCTTTGTTCTGGTAGATTTCAGCCAGGAGGAACAGCAAATGTTCCTGTCTGCAAAGCGCGGGGAGCTCCTCCCCTCCCCTTCCACACCCTCCCCCCTCCCCAGCTCACCTCCTTCCTTCCCAACCTAGGAATCCGTTCGCGGTGCCTCTCCCCTCCTCCTCGGCCCCGAACCCTGTCCCCAGACACAAAGCTCTTTGTTGTCAGCGCTCGGAGACGACCCGGCCCCGCACGGCCCGCAGGG